ACACACACACACAGACACAAACACACAACACACAAACACACACAGACACACACAGACACACATACACACAGACACAAACACACACACAGACACACACATACACACACACAGACACACATACACACACGCACACAAACACACACATTAACACACACAGACACACACACAGACGGACACCGAGTTCTGATAAAACAAAACTAACCTTGAAGTCGCCCTCGTCCTACCAGACCACAGGGCTGCTCTCTCATTGAAGAGGAACGACTGGTGATGGTTTAACCTGAGGGTCACCAGTCTCTGATGTTAACCTACCCTTCGAGTGAATTTTTTTCGCAGACTCGAGAACCCTGCAGTTTATCTCTCGCCCGACGTCTCTTTCAGATTCACAACTCCCTTTCTCTATGTTGTACATTTATTCCTAAAGCAATAATCTCTGAACTAGAGATAGTAGGAACTCTCTGAACTAGCTCGCTCCCCTCTTTATCCCCACCAAAACTGCTTAAAAACATTATGGTGACCCTTGCTCTGATAGCAAGTTTACAACGACATTCAGTCACGCAGTCCAAAGTGGGAAATAACCGGGAGTTTTAGAACACATACGCTGTTCTGGTAGCAGGTAAAACCGAAAACTGGGTCTATAATATCACTCTCATGTCGGTTCAAGACTCCAACTCAAACACAATTCACAGATATTTTGCTCCAATTTTTTTTTATTTCAAATAACGAACAGACAGAAAAACTAAATTTAATATTTCGTAGTGATTGTCTTTTATACCTTGGTGGCAGTCCGCGTTATATTTCACTGACTGATATTAGAAAAAATACTTTTTTTAAGAAAAGAGGGAGAAGTTTTTTTTTAAGTTGGGCTTTAAAAATCCAAGTCTCCTGCTTCGGTTGTGAGCTGGTGTGACACCGCCGCCTCGCGGCCAGACCGCGGATCTGCACCCAGGAACCAGCAGGGGTTCAGACGGAGTGCTCTCAGAATCTCCCTGACTACACGTGGAGGAGTAGCCCGGTCTATAAACTCTCCGTTTATGTCGGAGAATGAAAATGATAGCCAACGGATTTACACACAGCGCTGTCCCTGTATCAAAGACGTCAAGCAGCCGAGCAGTGACTATATTTAAAAGGGGTTTCCGACAACAAATTACATTGCAAACCAAAAAGTGTTCAAAGTTAAAAGTTTGTGAGTTTTTTTCCTGGATCATTGGACAGCAGATTAGAGTTAAACTCTATACCGTCATGACCAGTCATTATATTAAACTTGTTTCTAACTTCTCATGATTACAGGTAACTTTTACAAACTGTGAGACGAACAGGTCCGTCTACAGCTTGACATCGTTGTATCTGTGTCGATGTGATTTTTGACATTATCCACCCGAGTCCAACACCGGCACCTCCACATCATGTGTTTATCTGTCAGTGTCTGTCTCTTTCTGTTTCTTCCTTTGTGTGTTCATGTCGGTGCGATTGTGCGTCCGTGTTTGCCTGTTTATATTTGTGTATGTGTGACTGTGTGTTTATATCTGTGTGATTGCATGTCTGTCTGCCTGTGTGTGTGAGAGAGAGGCGGGGAGATGGAGACTGGACGTCAAAGGCTACAGAGCGGACTATGTACCGAATCTCCCTCATTGCTTGCCAGCCCCTCTCTTAAGAGTAGCCCCCTCTCTCATCCTCCTCAATCTGCCCCACCCCAGCGGCTCACTCGTGGAGTACTCTCAGTCGAGGATCAGTTCTGGGGCTTTTTTCCTCACTGAGAATAAATGTGAGCCCACAGCTGTTTCTTTGTTCCTGTTTCACAAGAGCAGAATAAACTTTCTAGGGATAACTCGAGAGTATCTCAATGAGTTCCTACGATTTACGCTCCAAACTGGAAGCAAATCGCGCGTTCCAAATAGGAAAAAAAAAGTATCAGGTAGTTTAAAATAAAACCGGACAGTAAGCACAAGGTAAACTATTGCAGTGAGTTGCTGGCACTCACTAATTGTATCTCAATTCAGGCTCACTGCATTGAGAGATTAGACAAAACATTAATTCTAATACAACCACGCTTCATTTAAAATTTCCATATATGTATGTACATCACGAAATGCATTCAAATTTATAAATAAAGTTCCTCCTCACGTTAGAGACACACAGGCAGGAGTGAAATCTTTTTAGAAAATAAAATCGCTTGCATTAAACCCTGTGGTGAAAGAACGAACAGCAAACCTGTGCAGACAGGGAATTCCTGTAGACGGAGGTTAGCGCTGAGAGGCAGGGATTGAGTTGGGGAACTTGGGGAAGTCCTTTTAGCCGACTGACTCTCTTCTGCAGTCTCTCTCTCCCTCTGTGCCTGACTGAAATGGGACGATCCTATGTTGGAAAGCCCAGCTTAATACTGACCTATTCTATAGCCTATGCAACAGCAAAAAAAAATGCCGCTTTCGTAAACCATTACGAAACGAGACTTTGAGAGGGAGGGGGTAAACGTGAAAAGGGAAGAAGAATGTCATAGTGGGATCATGCAATATCTGATTTGAATAAAGGCAGCCAACATTTCGCATACTTGTCTAACGTAATTACATTCCATTGCTAATGCCATCATCATCTTCATACAATATTCTTCAAGCCAAGTCTGAGGACTCCAGACACAGTTCAGAGTTTAACAGTGAATCGGACAGAAATAATTGTCCCAAACAGCCTGAATCTTTACTTTGAGATTTTCAACACCTACACCCATCATTTGCTGCAAAACCTTCTCTCAATTAATTTGCCCTTTAGAGTTGCGGGAAAGAAACCCAATCTGTTTTTGTTTAAATCCACTTATATGGAGTTGGATTAAAAACTTCGGACTGTTTAATTCCAGAACTTCGAGCAGAATTGGGACTTTGCAATGTTCTTTTTTTTTGCTCCTAATCTGTAATTGTTAGCGAAAGGTCTTCCAAATGACAGGATTTAAATATTTGCAAATTATAGTCATGTCTTCTTCAACGATTCATTAATTTTGTTCAGCGCTCAACACCACCCGAATTTAAACAACCGCCTTCCCATATCCCCTACCCTCTCTCCTACTAACGTAGATAGAATAATGATTCTCTAATGCGCCCCCCCAACCCGTCCACCCCCTACTCCATATTTCTCCTTCATGCGTTGAAATTAAGAAAGTTGTCTGCATCGCAGGGGGTAAATCAGTCCGGGGCTTCTCTATGACCGCCTTCAGACCCCGTTCAGTACTGACTCTTAAAACAGCAGAAGGGCTTATTGTTGCTTTATGTGATAAGGGGAAACTGCAGCAAAATTGTCAATTGCAGGAATGAAATCCAATCCAGCAGGCTCTCTCCTGTCCAAGGTCTGACCACAGTGACCTGTCTCGACATAACTGCATAGCAAAGCGGGAATACAAAACTTCAGATGCGGTAATGCTTATCGCTGGGATTCCAGTCAATAGACTTCCTTGGGATACTCGCTATGGATCCTAAAGTAAAACAGGGGACAACCTGGCAACGCGGAGGAATCCCTTCGACTGGCGAATTTATTGGTCTTACGCAAATCGGAAGAACTTTGTCTTTCCCCTGCCGATTTTGGGAATGGGTTTGGGACAGAGGGGGCGGGAAAGAACAACATGGTCTGAGCTGATGCATTGCAATTAGTGCGAGATCTTTCCAAAGTATTGACGGTGCGGGAGGCGGCCCCTTTATTGAACCAGACACACACACATTTAACAACTTGATCTGAAATGATAGTTTTACCATTTCATCACAAATGCAGCCCTTTTGTTGTATCCTGAGAATTGGGAACTTTTCGAACTAATCTCAGAGCGCACCGTTTAGATATTTTCTTCTTGAGCCATGCTCTAAGGCTAATGATTTCCAGTCTTAAAGTAACTGGAACCCAGGCTGGAAATGTTGCTAGGTTTGTATGTTTATCCTCTGGATGTGGAGCTAACGGCGAAATAAAAAAGAAACTGCCCCAGAAGGTCAGACGCAAGAGAATGGATGCTATCTGGTTTTATCTTGTCCATACCACACATGCACACAAAACAGAGGTATTAGATACTTTTTATCCTCTCTGTTAACAGAAAACACAAGCAGAAACAATACATCTGAAATAGTTCCATTTAACATACGAATATGAAAACCTGGAGCAGAATTAGGCCATTCAGCCTCTTAAGCCTGTTCTAACATTTAATACAATCATGGCTGATCCCATCTCGGCTCCAACTCCACCTTTCTGCCCGCTCTCCATAACCCTTCGACCTGTTGCTAATTAAAAATCTGTCCATCTCCTCCAATTTTCCCAATGTCCCAGCATCTATCACATTCTGAGGCAATAAATTCCACAGATTGTCACTCTTGAGAGAAATAATTTCTCCCCATCTCTGCTTTAAATCTGCTACCCCTTATCCTAAAACTATGACCTCTCATTCTAGATGGTCCCAAGAGAGGAAACATCCTCTCTACAAATATTTTGTCAATGGCCTTTAGCATTTTATGCACCTCAATTAGATCTGTTCTCATTCTGCTAAACACCAGAGAGTACAGGCCAAAACTGCACAACCTCTCTTCATACGCCAAACCCCTGATCCCTGGGAGTCAATCTATTGAACCTCCTCTGAACTGCATCCACTGAAATTATATCCCTCCTCAAACAAGGGGACCAAACTTGTGTGCAGTGTTCCAGGCACAGTCTCATTAATGTCTTGTACAGTTGCAGTAACACTTCCCTACTTTTACACTCTATTCCTTTAGCAAAATGCTAAAATTCCATTTGCCTTTTAAAGGGGGTTCAAGGAGAAAGAGAGACTTGGAGATATTGTTGAACCAACCTCTGACGGCCAACAAAACATTTGATTGTGCAAATGGAACCCATATTGCAGCTATAGAGTACCTAGGTCAGGCAATTCCTTTATAACACTCTTGTTTCACCTCATTTGGAACACTGTGTTCAATTCTGGGCATTCCCAATTTTAAAAAAAGGATGTGAAGATATTGGGGAAGTTGAAGGACATACTTAATTCAATGTCTCAGGCCTAAGGGATTTTGTAGCTGGACAGAGACAGCCAAGGTTGTTCTCCTCAGAATGGAGAAAGTGAAGAGGAGATTGAAGAGAGAAGTATAGAAAAAAGTAAATGAATGGAATCTGCTCCCCATGGAGGAAAGATTTCAGTTTATTCTCAGCACTGGGGAGCATTCCATCACACTCCTGATTTGTGCCTTGGAAACAGGCTTTGGGCAGTCAGGAGGAGAGTTACTTGCTGTAGGATTCCTAGCTTCTGATTTGCTCTTGTAGCCATCCTATTTATATGGCTAATCTAGTTCAGCATCCAGTCAATGTTTACAGAATGTTGATAGTGGAGGAATCAGAGAAGGTAATGTCACAGATAGAAGTGGGAGAAATTATAATGGGAGATAAGGAAATGACAGAGACGGCAAGCAAATATTTTGTGGTCATCTTCAAAGCAAAAGACATGAAGAAAAGACTAGAAATAGTCAAGAGGTAAGAGAGTGAGGAACTCATAGTAATTAACATTGGTGTAGAAAAGCAACACATCATTGATGGGACTGAAAACTCTATTTCACCCAAAGATCTGCATTCTATGATTTTAGACGAAGTGACTACAGGAATGGTATAGGTAGAGCTTCTAATCCTCCCAGTTTTCTTACTTTCTGGAACAATCCCAGGATGGGAAGGTATTAAATACACCCCTGCATTTCAAGAAAGGAGGGACAGAGAAGGCAGGGGACTACTGGTCATTTCACTTAATATGATTTGTTAGCAAAATGCTTCTTATTAATAAAGAAGTGATAACAGAGCTCACAAAAGGTTGTATTAGGGTTAAACATTGCTCTATGAAAGGAAAATCATATTCTTAACTAATCTGTTAGAGTATTTTTCAGGATATAAATAGCTTGATAATTTTTAAAATTTTCTTTTGAGACTTGAGCTTCACTGGAAAGGCCAGTAATTATTGGCCATTCGCGTTTGCCTTCGAGCATTTGGTGGTATGTTGCCACAACTGGCTCGCTCAGCCTTTACAGAAGCTGGCTAAGAGCCAACCATATTTCTGTAGATCCAGTGTCACATGGTTGACCAGACATAGGGAGAGATGACTTCCTTCTCTAAAGGGCATTAATGAACCAGATGGGTCTTTAATGACAAGCCGGTAGTTTCATAATTAAACTAGTATTTAACTCCAGTTTTATTAATTAATTTAAGATCACAGAGAACAAGTGGATGTAATGTACACAGATGATATTTAATAAGGTGTCATACAGTAAGTTGTAACATTCAACTCGGGCTCAAGGCATTGGAATAATATATCAGCAAGGATAGAAAATTGGTGAGTAGACAGAAAACAGAAACTAGGAATAAATGGGATATTTTCGGGTTGGCAACTTAGTCCTGAAGAAGGGTAATACCTTAAACGTTGGCTTCTTTTCTCCAGATGCTGCCTGGCTTGCTGTGTTCTCCCCGCCTCCAGTGTGTCTACCTTGGATACCAGCATCTGCAGTTTATTTTGTCTCTAATGATGTTTTTAAGTTTGCTTATGATAGATGTGAATGTGTGAGAGCCATGAGTAGGTGACACACAGGATGGAATAGAATCAGGAAGTTCCAATGAGTAGGCATAAAGGTGGCAGATTGTATATAAGGTGATGAAGTATAAAATATCTGTTTTGGGTGGAGGAATAGAAAAGTGGCATGTTTTCTTTTGAAAATTAAGCGACAAGTGCATATTGATGGGAAGAGGATTTTAGATGTCATTGTACGAAAGTTACAGAAATTTAGCATGAAGTGGTGTTGGTGGTATCTGAGAGTTCACCCTGCGAATTTAATTTGCTGTGGAAACATCTACATTTACATGTATGTTGTAATCTGGAGCTGCAGATGGTGATGATAGAATCTCCAAATATTTTTCCACCATGTGGCTCACCAGGAATCTTGCCCGCTCTTGCAGGTTGCCATTGGTGAGTGTTGAACTGCATTAGGATGACACCTTCCTTGGCCTTCAAGTCCTGGGGTGGCACCAGTGCTTCTGACTCTGAGGCAGGGACACTACCCAATGCAACAAAAGACCCCATCGACATGCAGGTACAACAAGTAATTCCGAAAGAATGCTCACTGCCCAGTGAAGCAGTTGCAGCTACTTTGCTAAATATTTTTGAGGCAAAGGTAGGTGGATTTTTGAACAGTAAAGGAATTAAGGAGATTGGGGAGTAGGGAGGTAAGTGGAGCTGATCCACAAAGAGATCAACCATGAGTGTATCTTATTGAGCAGAGCAGGCTCAAGGGGCCAGATGGCCTACTCGTACTCCTAATCCTTATGTTCTGAATAATTATGAGACACTCCTTGGCTTGACTGGAGTCTAGTACTCGAACCT